GCAGAGTTCACTTTTTTAAAAACTTTTTTTTAAGAAAAAAAAACACTTATTGACACCATCTGAATTACTTTTCAAATAGAATTGTTTATTTAATACCTACCGTATTATCTCTGTACTTAATAATGATTACAGCAAACATAGCTCAAAGCATTGACACTTAGCAGATTTGTTAATTATTCTTATGAACTAATTATAGTCACCTTTTCAAGTGTCTTGCTGAGAAATTGGATTAAATACTTGTGTTGCTTTTTCCACTAATTATGACTTTGAGACATGGTGGCCTGGGAAAATCCTCCAGCCATCAGCGAACCTGTGAAAAACCAATTTAAGGTCAAAGTGTCACCCTTCTCCCAGAGTACATTGAGTCAAGACGGAAAAGAATTATATATTGTTTTGTTAAAAAAAAAAGAATTTAAGAAGAATTCAAGCTGCTAATTAAGACCCAAGAAAAAAGTCCTGCCTGAAGGGGGAGCCCTGCTGGGCATGTGAGTTATGAAGGGGGGATTGCATGAATTGGTATGCATAGTTATTCAGGGGGATAAAAAAGATCAAGGCACAAAATGTGCTTATAATTAAGGGAGTCAAGTGGAGGTGGTCATGGGAAAAAAGGATTCGAAGAGCTAGGGCGCTGATACTGCACTTGTTCCAACCCCAGTAAGGGGAGTCTGGACAAATAAACAGAGACTGCTGGACATCAGAGAGTAGGATGCATTTGTGTGTGTTTAGCTTAAAGAACAGGAAATGTTGGAATTATCACATTAATCATATGTATATGTATATAGTTCTCCTAATTCTCAGGAGATCAGTTATTTGATAAATGCCTTTTGAAAGTCATTGGGATTGAAAGATTAAATAACATAAATGGCTGTTTAGGGTGGTTTATGAGGGAAATAATTGGGTCTGGTTCAGATTTGAAAACTCCACTGTTCCCATGGGTTGTATGGTGTAATAGACATGCCCAATCTGTTTCTAATTCGTTTCATTAAAAGCATTTTTCCAGTCCCCATTAAAGTAAAGTTGTAGATTATTTCGGTGAGGCTCATCTGTGACATGTATCATATCTAAAGGTGCTTCAATGGAAAGTTCGCACTGTGAATGACTGTTGTGTTAAGCAAGAACAAAGGGAAAATGACCATGCTTTATCATTAGGTATTGACTTAACGGCCCCCTGACACATGTAAATTGTGTTTTATGAATGTTTTTGTTTATCGTAGTTGTTGTTTAAGTGCTCTGTTTTATTTGGTCCTTATCAGAAATATTTGGGTAAAAGGTTAGAACAAAAGCAGTTCTTTTGAAAGAAGTTTTAATCAACAAGGGTCATCTCTTGTGAACTGGTTATCTCGCTGTGGTGATCTGGCATGAAAACCGATAACGAAAGTAATCAAAAGCTCTACCTCACCGAATTTGCACCAAAGGTATGCCCCACCTATACATAGTTTTGTAGACACATAATATCCAGTATCTTTAAACACAATGACCAAAGTCTTATTGTACAACTGTCAGGCAACGTTTTTCAAGAACAATTTTCTTCCCCTTGAAAAAGCATTGAAAACGTAAAGGACTTGATAATTAGTTACAGTGAGTCCTCCTTCAACGTATGGATGAGAATGGATTGCCTGTAGAGTGCCGGGCGGCCACAATGGTCATGTGCTATGTGTCAACACTGCTGGGATGATCTTCTGGGTACAGTTAGATAAGGCATGGGGTGCCTTTATTTTGGAGTTTCCACTATCAGAGAAAAGTGTTAAGTCACAACAATAGGGTGTATTGATGACTTCGGAAACTTCAGGGGAGCAAACTAAAAGGGTGTTGCCTGCAAACGATGAAAAATTTCATCAGCTGGCCGAGCAAGGTTTTCTGAAGAGCCCTTTTGGCACTTGGAGTCGAGTGACATAAGTCATGCAAATGAATTAACCAGACTCTCTTAGTATACCAATACAGAAGATGTTATTTTACATCAGTATACCAATATATCAGAAATAAATTGACATATAAAATAGATTGCTACTACCAGGGAAGACATGAACCTGTCAGATTTATGGCCTGCAAGTGTGACATATACATGCTTTATGGGGCTTAATGCTTCCATCTGGGTCCATGCAATGGTCAGTGCATGCAGTCAGCAGTTCTCACTTACCTGTAGATAAATGCTCATTTCTTTTTAATTTTATTTAATTCTTATTTATTATTAAGAATTTAAAGAGAACCTTTTGGTAAGGAACTTGAGAAGCAAACTGAATTTTTGGGGGGAATACATAATGCTTCCTAAACCGAGCATCAAATTAAAATCTAGATAAAGGGCCGTGTGAAAGTTTATGAAAAAGTACAGCTGTTTGATTTTTGCAAGTTTTTTTTTTTCAGTTTACATTAAATGACAGGTGTTTATGAATTAACTAAAGGTGCAAGTGGATTACAAGTGTTGATGTATGATTGTGACTTATTTATATAAATATTGTCAACCAGTTGGCAGTTTTTTTGACAATTCAGTTTTTGTTTTTTTTTTAATTTGTTCATCCAGTTTTAGGGTGCTTGGTTATCTACATGCACATGTGAATTTGAGGATATATCTATATAGGTGCACTTCAGATTTAATAGGTTTAACAGGTTTTTGATTAAAAAAAGCAACAGTATTGTCCATCTTTTGAAGAGCTTCATTATTTTCTGCTTGAAAAGTGTAGGGTTTGTTTAAATTTGGCAATATAGGGATTCTAAGGGAAGTTGTCCAATAAACTCAATTACCCAATAAGTATCATTGACCTATAAAATAATTCAATTTTTTGTTGAGGTTGCATAACCCTACTGAGAAATTTTTTCTCAGGGTGAAATCAAAAAATGAAGGTACTTGATGGAAATCTTACACAATGATTTTCTAATGATTAACATTCTCCTTTGATTGTTGATTACCATTAAATCCTCTGGTGTACAATTTTCTCAGAGGAAATAATAAAGTTTCTGTTCTTACTTAGTGATTAAAATCAGTAGAGCCCAGATTATCTCATCTCAGAAAGGAGATGAATGTCACCGTCACTTAAAACAAATCACGAAAAAGATCGGCGCTCAAAGAACGATTAACAAACAATGATTCAAATGTGCGGGCGATTAAGTCACTGAAAAAGGCTCATGTAAAATTGTACATGAAATTCATAACTTGAAAAGGAAAAGCCTGTACATTTCTTATTGTCTAGACTAAATCTGTAGCATTATTGTAGGGTTTTCGGCAACGTTTAGTAATACCTTAATGCTGAGCCGTGAACAGTTCTACTGGGGATATGGCCAGCTTAATCGTCTTAGGGAACTACTTAAATATACCAGAGTTTAAAGATCAACCTTTGATTTCTCAGCTTGCATCCACAAAAACTTTTTATGAACATATGTTTAGGTTTGCAGTAAAAATAGAACTTAATTCCTGTTTAGGGATCTTTACTGTTGTTGCCAAGTATTCAAGGACAGCGTAGAATTCATTCCTGAATTTAAATTAAAAATCCAAAGTTTGTATCAAAATTGGCTTATAAAGCTTCTTTTGAAGAATGGATTGTTGTAGGGCATATGTCTCCTTCATAATTTTACATACTTTGTATATTACATGAATTTGAAGCTGGGTTATGTAAAAGATGTTAATTTCCATCTAGAAGTCCAAAGAATTTAGGTTAAAGTAGAGAAAGGATTTATTGTGGGATAACAAGGTTTGATTAATGAATTTACACTCCTCCCAAATGACTCTGGTATCTTTGGGTCTCAGATAAAACAAACATGGGCGATGACTGTGGAATTAGAGGTGGAAAAAGTTATATGTCTGTCTTAGGAAAGAGATTCTGGATTTCCTAGTCCAGATAGTTGTGGTTTTTCTTATATTGACAAAACAAGCAATTATCTTTATTTGTTAGAGAACAAAATCTCAAAATGCTTTAAACATGACTTTCACAAAGGAGGACTTTCATTTTCATTGTGGCATTTTAGACACCGAAAACCTTTCTTCCGCCGATGTTTTTATTTGCCAATAAAATGGAGAGAAATACCCAGTATTTGTTCAAATTTGGGACAAACTGAGTGTAATTGATCCATTATGTATAATGACGGAAATAAAATTCAATTTGAACATTTGAAATGTGTGAAAACGAGGTGTTTGGCAAACAGTTTCTCCTTTTCCCTGGGAACCCACAGTTTAGAAATCAATTGTGCCCTGCCTAGTTTTGTAAGGCTAAATGGCAGCATTCTATAAAGCCCTGGGTTTGAAACAACGAGCTGTTTAGGAGGAGAATACGATAAACTGTTTTGAGGGACTGCGCATAGTCCTGCTCAGTATTCCATTCCCATAGTTAGGAAAAAAGGTTAAATGGTATCTCAATTTTGATAATGAGTTGCACTAATTTGATTTTTTAAATTGATTAAAGCTACGAAAAATACTGCAAATTGCTGGTATTGGAAGTTAATGAGGTTTTTTTGACAAAACAGTGGTTCCATTGAGAGGGTTAAGTTTACAAAACAACCTTGTTGTAAGGTTAGCACTACAGTGGTGAGGGGCACCTGTTCTCCACATACACAAAGATCCTGAATTGATATTTATATCATATAACACAACAACAGAAATGGTTCAACATGCCCTCATGGCTTTCTATGAAAAGTATGAGTCTGTTTATGAAAAATCTTGCAACAGTATTACATGTACTACAAAAAAAGCTACCTTTATAGTTGAGTTTTATATAATCACAAAATACTGAAAAATCACATATTTTTGAGCAGTCAAATTTTCGTGGTTTGAGTAAAAACTCTTGGTTCGTGCATGGGGATTTGAATTCAAGGATGAAGAATTGTTGAGTAGTTATATATGTAACATTTTACATTTCGTGGTGAACATGAATTCATGAATCTTCATACCTCGAAAATTAACCCCCAAAGAACTTTTGTGATTTCACATTAATGACTTAATTCTTAATTAGTTAATTTATAAATATGTGTTTAAAAAAACTGAGTTTCTAAGTATTTTTTTTTGATGATTTCAGGATTTCAAGGCATGCACTGCGAGACCAATGTTGATGATTGTGTGCATAGTCGTTGTGCCAATGGTTCAACTTGCGTGGACCAAATCAACTCGTACACTTGCAAATGTCCCCCAACACTGACAGGTAAGGCAAGAGCTCATCTACCCTTCAACGAAAAACGCTTAACAGACACAAAATCCCTAGCTAAAAAAAAAATTATTAAATCATTGCTAAATACTCATACATTACTTGAATGCCTGTAGGAGAACCAGGGAAAATCTTAGAGGAAGGTAAAAACAATTCCATTTTTGATGAGTTACAGTTTCATATCTTTTGAGTTAATTTAGTGGTCATCATGTTATATTTTTGTGATTTACAGACATATAAAATCTAGATTTAACACTTTGGTGTGTAACTAAATGTAAATTGAGGAAGTGTCTGTGGCATCAACAGGTAGACACCTTGGCATACGAAACAGGCCTCAACCCTTTGAAGCCCAAGCCACAATTTGTCTTCATCTGTTTTACTGACATTTATGATTGCAGAACTGACATAGTCCACAAATGGACAAAGTAGGCCTCGACTGGCCATCTCTTCCCTCATTTCAAGAATACATTATTTATCATTGTAAATATGATCACAATGGAAGCTTACATGACATAGATCATAGATTCTTTGGCTATAAAGCCTTAATAAAATACTTTATCTCTTATGGTTCAATGGTCACTGAGAGATGGTAGATTATGGCCTTCTCTAAATTAGATTCAGAATTTCAGATTTTATAGAATATCTTGAATAACATAGAGAGTGGAGAGCATTATAATGCTGTTTTAAGCTATTGATTGAGGTAACTTTTCTGAATATGCAGTTAAGGAGAATTTTTTTTTATGTCTGAGCATCAATGAATGCTGAAGTGTGTGACTTCTGATGAAAACATCTCCCCACAAAGGGGCAGGTGCTCTCTTCAGGTGAAAAAAAAATACTGTTCTAGTGTGAGAAGATTCAAAATAGGTCATTGTAACAAAAAAGATCCCCCAGGTATAGAAAAGATAAAAATTGGTAGTCAACAAGGTTTCAATTATGGAGTGTATGGGATATTTATGAAAATCATATTGACATTAGAAACTATTGTAGATGTTAAATAATCAGACAATCGTACAACAGGCAAATGTTCTGCATAGAAATTATTTTCAACCTGTCAAAAAAAGTCCTAACCATTTGTGCAAATTACTAAACATCTTATTTGCATTGAGTTGGTTCTTTGTTTGGTCATTTTTGTGAATTCTCCCACAGCCCTTACAATACAGCGCTGACAATGACGGGGTCATTTAGGTTCCTATCTGTCCAATATGACTTGTCAAACACTCCGAGTGCCATTTCCTCCAAATTGAGGCTTGTTGATTTGGGGGTCATGTGACCGCAATGGACTATGGTCTATGGGTCTGCTTTTCTTGTTCACTGTGTGGGAGATAGAATGAAACATCTTGTATGACATAAATATTGGATTAATTACAGAAAGTCCCATGTAATTATGATCATATAATGACAGGCATAAACTTACATGTTTATGATTGACTCTAAGTAATGACTATATATATATGCCTATAGTTTTCTACCTGTGTTATTGTATGACCGTTTTAAGTAGGATGTTGACCAATTCATTTAAAAATATGTTAATTTTGTTGTCTTTTTCATCTCAGTTGATTAAGAAATTGAATTGTTTATGAGAAACATTTATTTTTTTCTCTATTATTTTTGCTAGTTATATTTTAATTTAAGTCCTTTGAGTTTAACAAAATTGTGCAAAGAGTTGACATAGAATTGGTAAATAAGAATCTCAAAATTAGTCTGCTCATTCAAGATGAGTAAAAAAAAAAAAAGAATGGGGCTAGATCTATATAGAAATAATGTTATTAAAGGAAAAAAGGAAGTGTAGTATCTGATCCAATTTAGATTTCCGCTTAATTTTACCAGTTCCACATTATGACCTGCTTTGTCTGCAGTCATTATGAATATATGTCCTTATTTAAATTTTCCTTAACAGAAAATGATGTTTCCTCTAAAGATTGGACCATCAAGTATAAAACTATTAATTGATACAATGCCCGACTAAATATCTATGGTGCTAGCTGTCTGGAGACAAGCTGTTCCATAATTTAACCTTATGATTTACAAAAATGTATTAGAGTTTATATTGGTACATATTTTATAAAAAATATTGAAAATTTCCCAGTCAGAATTGCAATTCCAGATTTTTAAAGGAAATACAGTAACACTTTGTTATATTGAAATCATTGGGACCAACAAAAATGTATTCAAGATACTAAAGTTAAAATAAGTAAAGAAAAAAAATGACACTGCACTAGCACTTGTAGAACATTTTCCATGGTTTTCAAAATATCATTGTTCAAGCTATAATATCTCAATTGTAAATGAATTCAATTACCGGTATATGTCCATAGTTTACCAAAAATATTCTTGTACCTGTTTGCTTGATTAAGAAAAAAATGATAATTTTATAATTGCAATATGCTAGTAGCTATAAATGGAGAATTTTTCTACATTCTACCATTTTGTTTTTAGGACAATTTTGTGAGAAGGATGTTGACGAATGTCGCCTATACCCCAATATTTGTAAGAACGGTGCCACCTGTTTGAACCACCCTGTCGGTAATTACACGTGTATCTGCGTCAACGGTTGGACTGGTCGCGACTGTAGCATCAATATAGACGACTGTAAGGATAATCCCTGCTATAACGGTGGTACCTGTCACGATAAAGTCGGGTACTACCTCTGCCAATGTCCTTACGGAAAAACAGGTACCAGGAAATTGGCTCATGAATTAATTATTTATTTAATTAATTATAATAACTTATTTTTAATACAAAGTAGATGAAAATTTCTTACTTAATAATTTTTTGTTATTCAAAATATGTTTGTAAAACTGATTTTACAAATTTTTGTGTGGGTTTAATTTTCGTTGTTTTATGGGTATGAGGAGACCAATGAATTCATGTCCACCACGAAATGTAAAATGTTACCATACATAACTATTCAACATTTCTTCATCCACATATTTAAATCCCCACGAACCATGAGTTTTTACTCAAACCATGAAAATTTGACCCCACGAAAATATGTGATATTTTACAGTAATATTGATAAAATACATTATTGAAGTATCTTTTGTAAAAGCTTATGTTTATGTTCTGTGATTTTTAAGAAATTTATATACATTTAAAGATTGTTTTCTTTCTTTGATTATTTTCATATCTTTCTTGTATTCTTCTAATATATTCTCAAAAATGCATGAAATTCTCCTTCTCTGAAAAAAAATTTAAGCATCTATCGTACTATGCATTTTATTGCAAGATCTCGACCTAAAAAAATTATTCTTGCTCATTTTGCATGACATTGCATGAAACTGACCCTTTGCTTCAATTCTTCAACTCAGGCCTGCGATGTCATTTGGAGGACGCATGCACAAGTAGCCCGTGTCATGAGGGGGCTAGTTGTGAGACCTCCCCTATTAATGGAGACCCTATCTGTTCCTGTAAAAAAGGCTGGACAGGGAATGACTGCTCAGTGGATGTTAACGAATGCCATGAAAGTGAGTACCTCTCCCATCTCTATACATTCTGTACACTCAAGGAATGGACATAGCGTTCTTCTATAAAACATTCGCCCTCCCCTTTATATCTAAGCTTCATTGTTCATAGCTTGGTCTCTCATTAATCATTATCTCACAGACCAAGTTATGAAAGTTTTAAAAAAGTGTTTCAAAACATCTGTCCAGAAAATGAGATTCCCGAGGATATCGGTGATCCCGTATTGGTTACAAATCGTGACATGGATTGTAAGTGTCTCCCAGGGTGGAATGGTACAGATTGTCAGTCTGACATTGACGAGTGTAGAACAGGTAGGGAAAACAGAGAATCTGATGTTTAATTTTATCAAGTTTCTGTCCACTTCAACAAACTTTTACATTGTTCTAATTAATTACGCTTCCAGGTCTGATCAGAGAAAAAAAATCATTCTTTAAAATGGACACATTTTTTATGTAGGGTGTATCAGCATAGGAAGTGTCATGATACTTATATACCTACATTTGACCTTGATATGTGACCTCTTAATACCTGACCCGAGTCAAATTAATAAATTTTTTTTTTGTTTTTAGGCTCTGTGTCCCCATGCGAACATGGAGGAACCTGTGTTAACATGCCCGGAACATTTAAGTGTGACTGTATCCTGGGATTTACCGGACCAAGATGTGAAAGCAACATCAATGAATGTCAGTCCAATCCGTGCCAGAATGAGGGCACCTGTCTGGATCTGACGGGAATGTTCCAGTGTATCTGTATGCCAGGCGAGTACCACTAGGGATTACCTTAATGCTTGTTAATGATGGAAACTTCATGTACTTCTATAAGTTAAAATTTTTGATTTTGAAATTGAATGATTTCCTACAGGAACTTTATGTTTAAGGATAGCTTTAGTGATGATTGGCCATCTAGCAAATGACCCAAGAGGGCTTTCAAAATTCTGTTTTAAACTTGAAAGCAAAATTCAGTTTTTAAACTTGATAGTAAAGAGGTTTTCGGTCTTGCATTTCCATAAATGTAGATGCAGAATAAGGGTTTTCTCATGACACCGTTTTCCCCTTGTCTGGTATATTTCTTTGTGTTATATCTCTGCCATGTGTAATAAGAGACATCTCTTTTTGTTGGGGTGTAGATTTAAAAAATGTCAATGTTTCTCAATGTTTAGCTTACTATTTCAGATATCAACTTTATTTTTAATTAAAATACACCAAGCAATTAGATCAGGATATTTAGGTGAGCAGATTAAACAAAATTTTTATGAGTTGCAGAAGTGTGGGAAAATTATTTTTAAAAGCGTGTAAGATTTCTCCTCAAAGGGGTTTTTTGTATTGAAAGCAAGGATTACAAAATAGGGAAACATATTTCTAAATATCTATTCTTGTGGAGAGGGAGAAGTTTTTGAAAAAAAGATATTGTTTCAAATGTGGACTCTTGTCTGATCTGATGCAAAGTCAGGCATTTTGGCCTCAGACGATTTTCCTACAATGCAGAGCTTACTAATCTCAGTCAATCAGCACTTTTGGAGTAATAGACTGTACAAATTAGAACAAAGCCCGATAGGAATCAGGAAATCTTATAACCAAAGCTCCCCTCACAGCCGAGGAAAAAAGATCACCCTGATACCCAACCTTTATACAAAGAGGAGAAAAAAAAAACTATTGAATACACCGCATAGTGGCATTGTGAGGGGTGCTGAATTTCAGAGCACAGCCCATCAAGTCAAGAGATTGGAATAGGGGGGAAAAAAGAAAAGGGTGAAACTTAAGACTTCAAGGTTAAATTGTTTTCTCATTAAGCATAAACTTTGAAAAAGATACAAAGTTTGTGTAGCGAAACTTTTATCTGGGGAAGTGGGTCTTATAGGCACATCATAAATGATAGCATTAATTCTCCCCGAGATATGCACTAAAATAAAAAAAAAAAGAAGACGGATTAAAGATATTTCTGTTGGATGAAAGAAAACAGAAATTGTAGCAGTGTCTGAACCCAAGGACACAATTCTTTGTGACAGAACCATATGTTTCATGTATGTGTCTGGCAGATTTTTTTAAGTTTCAGGAGCAACTGTTTTAATAAGAGAAATCCCTTAATTATCCCCATGAGTTGGGTTTGTGTAGGGTTTGAGAGTTCCCACGATCTGGGGTCATTAAAATGTTTTTTCTATGTTGCAAGTCTAGATAACATCTGTAATTATGTTACATACTCCAGTATATTAACCTGCAGTGAAGAAATCTAAAAGTGTTCAGCAAGCCTGGCAGTGTTTTACTCTGTATTATTATCTAGTTCCTCTCGATTTCATTCTTTTACAAAGTTTGATTTATTAAGGTTATTTTCGATTTGAAATATTAAATAAAAGGATCAAAGATAAGAGTATTAAGGAAAGAATATGCTCCCAGCATGGCGATAAATGTCAAAATCCTTTGACTAAGGAGACGTGAAACACAGTTTTAGAATATTTTTTGGGGGAAAAATGGATTAAATGTTTAGTTTGTAGTTCATCAGATTAAAATATTTTAAATTGATTTTCGATTGTATTAAATTTGTTGAAAAAAGTTTAAATTGGGAAATTTAATTTTCCAAAAAAAAGTAGGAAAGAAAGAACCCAAAATTATATCAGGCCTGTTCCTTCTAATATTTTTTTCACGTGGAGTTCATTAACAGGTTTGTCTGCTGTATTAAGGCAGATCCCGCATTAATTAATTAATTAAGGATTGGCTGTTTTTTTTTTTTTACAGGGTACACAGGAACTGTCTGTGAAGAAGATATAGATGAATGCAAGGGTAATCCGTGCCAAAACGGAGGAGTGTGTGAAGATCTGAAAAATAAATTCAAGTGCACCTGTCCCGCAGGTATAAACAATTCCGCAACCCTACCACCCCCCAATCCATTACATCACATTAGTACAACTAGTAGAACGAGACGGGCAATCCGCTGTTGTACTCCTTTGAGTGGAAGTACCGTGCGATAGTTTGTAATCGTGTTAAGTATTCCTAGTACTTGTAGCAAGCACCTCGAGTCAAGAGGGCGTCCTTTCTTGTGACATTAACAGGTTCATGTACGTGCAACTGAAGTCGGAAAGTGAAATATTTTGGAGTATGATAGAATTCTCATGAATATAGAAGTTATTTTCATTTAAAAATTAAGGATAGCCATCAGAAAAAACTTGAATAAATTATATTTAAACATAATAGCTAAATGTTTTATGAAAGCATAATTAGTCTGCTTTTGTGTTTAAATTTAACATGGATTCATTAATGTAAATAATTCTTATGGATTGCTATATTTGTATCAATGAATCGAAAAGAACACATAACTGGGAAATCTTCTTTGAAATAAGGATAAAAAGAGAATAAAACAAGATAATCAGCAATCTAATTCTATATTATTATTTTAAGAGATTTAGGCTAAAAATTGTAGTAGTTATAAATGTTCCCTCCTTTTCCTCTGGAATCTGAGTTTTGTGATAAAAATAACAGTGTTGGTGTCAGGTGAGGAGGAGATTAGGATCTGTGTGTTTGTTTTTGCCATGGGACACTTTTTACCATTATTAATGGATGAGAAATCTTGATTAGGGGGTATAACCAATACTCGATGAGATAATTTAGTGATCATTGACAACTGATTTAATCACGCAAATTGTAAAGAATGTGAAGACTGCTCAAGACGAGAGCACATGTTGGCCATGATTGTTCACTGAGGCATGGATTTGCACTGAGAAAAGTGTGAGAATTTAAAGCTTTCAATACAAATTTGCCTCGTGTACAATTAAACGATTGACTGTTCAAATTGCAGTAGAAAAACAGAATCATAATGGTAGAAAGAAAATGCTTCAAATGCAGAGTTATTAAGTTCTAGCATAGTTTCCTTTCATAAAAGTAATTTATGACCAAACTTGCCTTTGAAAAAATTATTGATCCCCAAAATTGAGGGAATTTAATGAGTCATAATGTGAAAAATGGTATAGTTTTGACTTGTAATTTTCTAGGGTTTGAGGGACCAACGTGCAACGTGAACATCGATGAATGTGCAAGCAATCCGTGCCAGAATGGGGCGACCTGTGTGGATGATATTAATAGTTACACTTGTTCCTGTGCAAATGGTAAGAGCAAAAAAATCCGCAAAAACAATTTTTTTAATGCAAACACAAAAAATCTACACCACCTTCTCTGCCTCTCATAAATAGGCCACCAATGAATATTGATGGGATTCTATATAATAGGATGCACACTGCTCAACACTTTTACAACATCATTAAGGCAGAATATAAAATATCACACATTATGGCATGCTTTTTATCCTGTGTTAGAAAGTAGATCTTATACTGTCTAATACACCAAAATCAACCTGATTCTCAAAAACAGCTGTATGCTGTCTGTTTCTATAGCACCTGGTAAGATGCAATTGTACTGTTTATTAACATTCTGTAGATGTTTTCTGATGCTTAAAACATACCTGTTGAGAGAAGTGGAGCTATCATAAAAGTTGTTTTGCAGAAGAGAAAGCTGACACATGCTCTTCAATACAACCAAGATATTTTAGTAATCGCAAAACAAAACTGAATAACCTCGTTTATTTTAAGAACACAGTATACGTTTTGCCAGTACAATGTTTTTGTTATTATTAGTCAACCAAATTTTTCTGTTTCTGTTTGTAGGGTATACTGGGGACCGTTGCCAGACCAATATCAATGACTGTTTGGGGGTTATCTGCTCCAATGGGGGCACCTGTCGGGATCTGCTGGGGCGATATGAATGTCAGTGTCCCCCGGGGTACACAGGGACTCACTGTGAGACCGACATTGACGAGTGCGAGTCCCAACCCTGTAAATATGGTGGAACCTGTCACACTTTTCCCAATGGAAATGGATATGAATGTCGCTGTCCTAGAGGAACTTCTGGTAAGAGTTGTCCCCTTGATTAAGGCGGAGTTTAGTACACAATGGTTGGTCAAGGAAGAGACCTTAATGACTTCTGATTGGCTATGGCATTGTCATATGAAGGACACATTGAATGGAAATTCACATTAATTTTGAAAGTTAAAAAAAAGTTAGATCATTACTTTTGTTTAAATTTTTTGGGTCCATTTTGTGTGAGAGAGTAGCGGTCAGCATGCCGAAAGTTAGAATAAGATTATCAATCTTTCTACATGGCTTGCTTGCTTCAAGGAATAATTCACCTGGCATAATCAGAGGTGAATCAAAGGAAAACACCTCTATTTATTTGGCATCATATGTAATGCTAATTCTCTCCAACACCCTGAATTAAGTTCACTCAGGTAGATCGCCCAGGTAATAATAAAGGCACTCAGGTGAGGCTGTAAAAACACATTAATACTGAGTCATAGACAAGATCCTGGGAGTTTTGCCGAAGACATTGTCTACATACAATGGAGGTCAATTGTCGCGGGCAGATTTATATCACATCTCCTCTGCATCTTTCACCTGCCCCCTGTTTTTGGGAAGATTGAATTTTGATGTGTCTAGAATTGGTTTCTCATTATTGATGATTATCACATTTTTGTTAGAAATAGAAAATAAATGTAACAATTAAACTTTGCAGTATTTTTGATTGATATTGAAAGTACATAAAAAAAATTCTTTGAATATCTTACTCTTTCACAAGCACTTGTTTTTGTGTTCAAGTAACATCCTCAGCATGTATATGTAGAGCGGACCTTTTCTGTCTCCTGCCTTTGTAATGCCATGTATTCTATTACAAAAAAATTCAAGTGCCCTATATAAAAGTAAGCAGTGTTAGGATCAGATGGTCTACAAAGCTAAGTGATAGACAACCCAGACTGTGTCTAGAGCTTGTCTTTTGTCTGTAAACCAGTATTGGTGTAGAAGGTGTGTCATAAGATGTTCAACTTCACAGGATGCATAATAATTTGTACAGCTTTCTCACGATCATTTCGTGACATTTTGCTCAGAAAAAAATTCCACATTCAACTTGAGGTAAATTATGTAGTTGCAAAAAAAAGTTTAGGGAATGAAATTATTTTTACCTGGCATATATTTATTTTTTGATTCTTACATTTATTTGAAAAGTTATTTTAAATTGAAAGGTTAGCAATTTTCTTCTTGAGTTGTACATTAAATATAACCCATGGAATTTAGAATGAAAACCCACCTCAAAAACTTTTGTACATGTATAATTCATATTCCAGGTATGAATTGTGAAGTGAATTTTGATGACTGCCAGAACAACCCCTGCATCAATGGAGCAACATGTGAAGATGGCTTGAACAACTATGTGTGTAAATGTAAACCAGGTTACACAGGTATACACCAGGCACAAATTCTACTCTGCAATATACATTTATTTATTAATAAAGATAAAACCTCAAATTTTTAGATAGTTGTTTAGCTTTTGAAGTAAACTTCTAATGTTGGTTTTGATATGAATGTTGATTTGATATTTATTAATTTGATATTTATTAATTTGCAGGAGAGCAGTGCCAGACTAACATTGATGATTGTAACCCCAACCCTTGTCATAACGGAGGCACCTGTCGGGATCTGGAGAACGGTTTCCACTGCGACTGTCCGTACGGTTACCATGACGATACCTGCATGTCCAATGTGGATGAATGTTCCAGCAACCCATGTCTTAATGGTGGCATCTGTAAGGATGGTGTTAACAAATTCACATGTAGCTGTCCGCTGGGATACGAGGGAACCCGATGCGAGACCAGGACCAATGAGTGTGCCTCCAATCCCTGTCAACATCAGGGGGTGTGTCACGATCTGGAGGGGGGCTACAGGTGTGACTGTGCTGCAGGATTTACAGGTAAGATCATCTTAATCAGAAAATCTAATTGTGGTGACCTTCCATTAGTCTGTGTGTTTTATTTAAGGAGGAAAAAATTCTGTATGATGCTCATGCAAGCAGAATATATGAAGATAGTGCTCAAGCAGAATATGTGAAAATTTAAGTTTTCCAATGTTTATTTTCAGGTGTGAATTGTCAGATCAATATAGACAATTGTGCTACAAATCCTTGTGTCCATGGTTCTTGCACTGATCTGGCCAATGACTATAAGTGTCACTGTGAGACCCAGTGGACAGGCAAGAACTGTGACACCAAGCTGGACCCCTGCTCACCCAATCCCTGTCACAACCTGGCTACGTGCTCCGCCTCCGCTGATTTTACTGATTTCTCCTGCTACTGCCCACAAGGACTCACAGGTAAGACATTGGAAGACAACAGTTTAATAATATATATATAGCTCTTTATTTGTATGGTTGTGAGTACATGTATCATGACTGAATTCATAAATTTTCTACTTTCTATTTCTAGGTCGCTATTGTAATGAAGATTATGATGAGTGTCTGACCACAAAGAAATGTTATTCTGGTGGAACCTGCATCAACACTTATGGTTCATTTAAATGTATGTGTCCAAAGGGATACACAGGCCTTTATTGCGAATCCAATATCGATGATTGTGTCTCCTCTCCATGTCAGAATGGAGGTACATGTTACGATCGAATTGCCAACTACACGTGTCTGTGTCCTCCAGGATTTAGCGGGTATCACTGCCAGAATGATATCAATGAATGTGCGTCTAGTCCCTGTGAGCATGGTGCTGTGTGTAATGACTACGTTAACTCCTACACATGTACATGTAAACCTGGATACAGTGGCACAAACTGTCATATCAATGATAATGACTGTACGGACAGGTTAGTGGTGGGCAAAGGGAGGCAATCCAAAGAAACAATGGTTAAACAACTTTTTGTAAAAAAAGTGTTGAAAGGCAAAGTATTTTATGATAATTGATATAACATGCTTCTGTTTTAATTTTTAGTGGAATGATTTATTGGTTAAATTGGTTTAGAATGCTATCCTTTTCATATAAACATATCTACATTTTCATATTAATTTTCAGTTCCTGTTTGAATGGAGGAACCTGTCATGATCTGGTCAACAACTTTCGGTGTGAATGTGCTGCAGGATTCCAGGGAACCAACTGTCAGACTAGGATCACCCCTTGTGATTCAAACCCCTGTCTGGAAGGGGGCACCTGCATCAATAACAAGAGCCTGACCTCATTCCATTGTGTGTGCCCATATGGATTTACTGGATCTAGATGCGAGGTAAGAACATAAAATATCTGAAGACCTACTTTATTAAGAATATCAGATATGTGCAGAAAAGATAAGTGTTTCTTCGTTTGTCATTGAAAGTTTACTTTAGGTATATTACTTTTTTTGATGATGTGATTTCTTCTGGTTATTTCCGTAGAGTTTCCTTGATTGGTGCAGTGAGGGTCCTTGTATGAATGGGGGCACCTGCTTCCAGACCGCCAATACCTATAGATGTAGCTGTCCAGCGGGCTGGACGGGACAGATCTGTGATGTACAGACCATTACCTGCGAAGTGGCTGCCAAGACAAAGGGTATATAAGATGTTTCTGACTTTCATGTTAAAAACTTTAGAGAAAAGCATAAGATAAATAAGGTATAACTGAGATGTTTAAGGGGTATTTTAAAAAACAAAACTTTTTTAGAAAAGATTTTAAAAAAAAGTTATTACATTGTATTTTAGGTGTTCAAGTATCAGATCTCTGTAAGAATGGTGGGACCTGTCATAATGTTGGCAACACACACAACTGTTCATGTCGTAACGGCTATCAAGGAAGCTACTGCGAGACTGAAATCGACGAATGTCAGTCAGCCCCATGCATGAATGGAGCAACCTGTGTTGACAAAGTAGGAGATTACACTTGTTTGTGTAAGGCAGGATTCCAGGGAAAGAACTGTGAACAGAACATTAATGACTGTATAAACAATCCATGTACAAACGGTGGGAAGTGTCACGATCTGGACAATAACTTCACTTGTTCCTGTTTACCTGGAACTAAAGGTCTTCTCTGTGAGTTGGATGAAATAGACTGTTTCCAGGGAGCGTGTTTCCACGAGGGCACCTGTATAGAGAAGATCAACGGATACGAGTGTAACTGCAGACCTGGTTATGTGGGGGCGCGGTGTGAGGGAGATATTAACGAGTGTCTGTCTAATCCCTGTGATGCCGTGGGCACACACAGCTGTATACAGAAGGTCAATGACTACCAGTGTGAATGTAATGCTGGATATAGAGGTGAGTGGGAAAAAATGTACTCAGCATACCGTAAATCAGGAAATTTTTACGTCGATTTTATTTTGCGAATTCGTGTCAAAATGGTGTTGATTAATTTGTACGTTTCAAAATTTTGCGAATTACCACTGCTTTGTTTACATTTTCTTATTGGTAATTTATTTTTAAGAAAAATATTTTTACGAATGCAATGCACTCGCAAATTTGCTAAAAATTTATATACAGCGAAAATTTCTAGATTTACGGTACAATTTTTTAACGGCATCTTAGAAAACTGCCTAATTTTCTAGCCCCAAATTGAAGAGAAATGGTGATTCCATGTAATTTTGACTCAGTGAAAAAAAAAAGTACAGTAGCATGCTCTTGAAATGATATGGTACATTAGATTATTTTATATCTTTTGCAATTTTTTACAGCAATTCTGTATAGAAATGTCATGTAAAAAATTCCCTAGAAAATATATCTTATAGTTGACAAAGTAGTAAATCGTGAATCCTATGCTTCTGTTAGGTCGAAACTGCAGTGAGAAAATCAACTTCTGTGAAAACCAGCCGTGTCAAAATGGGGGCAAGTGTACGAGTGGGGAGACCAAAGCTATCTGTTCCTGTCCAGAACCTTACAGTGGGGAGCTGTGTGAGACAGAAATAACGGCCTGTAGCAGTGGTCCCTGTCTAAATGACGGGGTTTGTCAACCAATGGGAACCGACCAGTTCCTGTGTATCTGTCCACCAGGTGTGGGCGGGACAACATGTAACCAGGATATCCTCAATGAATGCAACAAGACTTATAACCCCTGTAGACATGGAGGAGTCTGTCTGGATAGGATGGGTGAGTGTGTTTTTTTGAGTAAATTAATGTAAATTCTAATAGATATATTGTGTATGCTTGTGCTGCAGGGGCAGTTTAGGTAATAAAATTCATCAATTAAGAAGAGAGCTAGGTGAAAATGAAATGCGTGTGTTAGAATTATGAAGGTGCTATAATGGAAGTTTTGTTTTTCAATACAGGAAAATACGAATGCCAGTGCCCCAGGAATTATGTCGGTGTACATTGTGAGAGATTTGACTCGAGCTCGGTGGAGCCTGGAACCACCCCTAGAATTATCGATGTCTGCGAGCTTAATGGGTGTCCATCCAAAGCTGGGAATGGCATTTGTGAGGTAAAGTGCTAGATTGTAATTAATCTTAATTTATTATTTATTTCTTTAAAACAATATGGTACATGTAATTATGCTTATAGTTTGTTTAATTTTATTGATATGATGTATAATTTTATCTTGTAGGAGGAATGCAATAGCCCTCAGTGTCAGTATGACGGTGGGGACTGTGCCCTGGGGGTGGCACACATCTACCAGAACTGCTTCAACCCCAGCTACTGTGCCAATAAATACAACAACAGTGAGTGTGACCAGCAGTGTAACAACCAGAACTGTTTGTTTGATGGAGGCGACTGTCGTGAACATCGAGACTGCAATCCCTTCGGCAGATACTACTGTGACCAGTTATATAACAACGGACTCTGCGATGAAACCTGTAATGTCAAGGAATGTAACTGGGACGGGTCTGACTGTAAGGAGAAAGCTACCGTGCGATCCCCTGTCCAGGGTACTATGGTCGTCTACGTCAGAGTCTCCCCAGCAGAGTTTCTGAGAAAGAGAGCCTTGTTCCTCAGACAGCTGGGATTGTTGCTCAATGTTCTGGTAGAAATTAAGCGGGATGCTAACAATAGTTTTATGGTCTACCCTTGGGAGCCAACAGTTCAGGCACGAACCAAACGATTTGCAGATGCTGCATTTGAGGGATTGGTACATAGATTTAGGAGATTTGTTCCATCCACTGAAACTAATGGGTAAGCTTACATTATGGTGTTTGTGCCATTGATCTTATTTATGTAATAGAATTTTAATAAAATACTATTTTGTTTTTGGATTTTGGAAAATAAAATTTGTTCAGAAAAAGGTTTGAATATTTTATTTTATTTCAACAGTACTAAGATCTACCTGACATTGGATGCCAGTAGCTGTGTGTCTGTTAATGTTGATCAGGGCTGTGTCACTAACCTGGATACAGCTACCCAGGTGTTTGCAGTGGCGGTGAAAAATGGATATGACACAGGAGTGAAAGTGGAAAGAATTGAAAGTAAGTCTTCAAAACATAAAATACCACGATAAAATAGTAGTATGAAAAAATATCATGAAACTGATCATAATAAAATTACTATATTTTTTACAGTGAAGAAATGCACTGGGGCAGATTGTGAAGATGTCATTGAACCGACACAGCCTACCAATATGATGTACATTTATGTGGCAGTCTCTGTGGCCGCTGTACTGATCATGGTGGTGGTGGTGATCTTTGTGCTTTCCCGCAGAAAAACGGCTCACGGAAATACATGGTTCCCAGAGGGATTCTTTATGAGCAACTCTGGACCCAAGTCCACTGGGCCACCGCGCACCTCCAAACGAAGAGTACCAGACGGAGAGGAAATGAAGTACGTGCAGCTTCATTTAAATGATTATAATTGATAATAAACTTTGGGTAGTTCCTGTATTTATATTTGTTGTAATTTCATAGGAACGTAAAGGGGTCAGGATGTGATGACATGAACACCCAAGCTTCCCCACCCTGGTCAGATGATGATTCCTGTCAGCCAAAGGCAAAGCAAGCCAAGGTACAACCCTAAGTAATATAGCAGAGGGCTATCTACTTAATATATATGTCATTGATTTGAAACCATGTATAAACATCTGATTTTCTTTTTAAGATGGAGACGCAGAGTAAACAGTTGGAGCACATTCTCTCCCCACCCGCCTCGGACATGGACAACAGACAATGGACGTCACGACATCTCAATGCTGCTAATATTCCCAACGACCAGATGGCCCTGACCCCTCCCTATGACAGTGATCACACACATATAAATGATGTGGACGTGAGAGGTCCCGATGGGTTTACTCCTCTTATGTTGGCCTCATTTCGTGGCAATGGTCTGGATACAGGGTGTGACAATGAGTCCAGTGGCTCTGGTTCTGGTGAGAGCAGCAATAGTGGAGATTCTGATGATAAGTCAGTGGAAGTTATACAAGCTCTGCTGGTACAAGGGGCCGAGATCAACGCACAGACAGATAGGACAGGTAAGAATTGCCTTCTCTTAATTTTTCATATAAATTTAGATTAAAAAAATAAAATACTCCAGGTTATTGCCCTTTTCATGAATTTGTTTCACTCTTATTTGCAAGCAAAACTTATGTTTTACATTTCAACTCGATATTTTATGATGATCAGAAGTGAAGTATAATTTCCTGTTTTGTAGGTGAGACTTCCCTTCACCTGGCAGCTAGGTATGCCAGAGCTGATGCAGCCAAGGTTTTACTAGATGCCGGGGCCGACTGTAATGCTGAGGATAACTCTGGACGCACTCCACTACACGCTGCCATTGCAGCTGATGCTCTTGGGGTCTTTCAAGTGAGACATTTTTTAATTTCTGACCAGTTTGAAAGGAAATATTCATGTAAGTTGTGTGTTTTCAATTTTTTTCAAAAAAAAATTATTGAATGCTGAAATTTTTTTCAGATCCTTCTGAGAAATCGGTCTACTAATTTGAATGCCAAAACCCAAGATGGAACAACACCGATTATCTTAGCTGTCAGAATGGCAGTGGAAGGAATGGTGGAGGAGTTGATCAAGTCGGACGCTGATATCAACATGACAGATGAATATGGTAAGATTGTCAACACCAAGTTGTGGCATTTGTATTTGATGATATGGCCTCTATTAAGACTGAACAAGAGTGCTAATTCTCAATTTCATTTACAGGGAAAACAGCCCTCCATTGGGCAGCAGCAGTGAATAATTCTAGGGCAGCACAAACCCTGTTACAGAATGGAGCTAACAGGGATGCACAGGACACAAAGGCAAGTTCTAAACATGTGACGTTTCTAATTCAGTGTTCAGTTTCATAACTTTTTTTGGAATGACAAAATCTCAAAGTAATTATAATTCTTTCTTTATTTGACAGGATGAAACTCCATTATTCTTGGCAGCCAGAGAAGGCAGTTTTGAAACAGCCAAAATATTACTGGATCACTATGCCAACCGTGACATCACTGATCACATGGATCGGTTGCCTAGAGACATTGCTCAGGAGAGGCAGCACCGTGATATTCTGAGACTATTAGATGAATACAGGATGAGTCCTAGTGGTATGACTTTGTCTAATGGCATGCCAGCATCACCAGGACACTTACACATGATGCAGAAAAATTCAAAACAAAAACGGAGAAAGAACAATTCAAACACTCCCATTTCTCCAAATGGACTACCCAATGGGATGCACCCTAAGAAAACAAAAACCAAGAAAAAATCTCCCAAACATGGAAGTTCTCCAAGTGGTGAAGGATCAGCATCCTCAATGGAGACAGTGTCCCCAGGGAATTCTATTGAGTCCCCACTGAGATATGATCAGACTCCTACTTCATATGACATGTATGCTCAGGCACATACCATGCCTCAGCAACCCTTGTTTCATATAGACAATGTGACAATGTCTCATAGTATGACAGATGATCAGGCCATACTACAATATGAATACAACAATAGTCCAGGCATGGAGCACATGCAACCACAATGGACCCAGCCCCACCATAACCCACCACCCACCTACTCCACCTCCATCACCCCACCATCTCAACCCATCAACAGTCCCATCGGACATGGAAAAATGTCTCCAGTAAAACCCACCAAGAACTCGCTACCCACCTCCCCCACCCACATCCAGGCCATGCACCAGCGTGCTCGCCAGGAGCAGCGGGTGGTAGCTCACGGGAGTCCGCACAGTCGACAGAACGATCATTTTGTGTCATACAGCAGCTCGGACACTCATCTGCCTATCACCACCATGCCCAACATGTACACAAATGACTCTTACATGCATCAGTCACAAGCTATTGACTATCCACAGAAAATGTATATTGAAAAATACCCCACCCCTCAATCTCAGAGCAGTATGGACTCTCCCCAAGTGAGATCAGGGGTGGCCCTCCCTGAACATTATTTGACCCCCTCTCCGGATTCCCCGGGCCAGTGGTCCAGTTCATCACCCCACTCTGCTCATTCTGATTGGTCAGAGGGCATTTCAAGTCCCGACCAACCCATTCGCAGCAATAAACCTGTGTTTCTCTAGGACACTTTTTGTGCCAGTTCATTTAAAATTGGGCAGTATTGGACACTGTGGACTTTGCAAATACCTTTACATGCAATTTTATTGGTGCAGACAGTTTGTGATTATATTACGCATTTACATTTGGGTGGACAAAGTGTAAATATGTTTGGTTAGATTGGTGCACAGTTTATTTTCAGTTTTATGTAGTTTTTTGTGTACCAATTATTTTAACTTGCAGAATGTGTTTTGTATGTGCAAGGGGCCAAAGTTTGAGTTGCATGTATAAAAATTATATTGTTATTTCCATTATTTGTTTTTATTACCAGCAGGCAGGATGCCGTTTATGTTAGAAATTGTTTAAGCCTGCAATGTTTGCTCCAGAATTTAAGTGGTGTTGATAACTTTTCATTTGAATTTAGATATTTTATTTGAATGTAGTGCTGAAGTTGGCACTTTGAAGGAAAAAAATTTAAGATTAAGAAACTGCCAGTTCATTATTTTATATGTTCACTTTTTAGGACAATTGTCCTGTGCATGTTTGCAGTTGCTACAGAATTTTATACTGTTTACATTTTAGTACAATTTTTAATTTTTGGCTTGATATTACAGTTTTTGTATGACCCATCTTATTTCATAGTTTTAACCCAATTTGTGTAAGAATATAATTTGTTTAAAGCTTAGTTCGCGTCGCTGCGACAGCCCTGACCTGACCAATCAGCTTCCAGTACTCATTCCACTCGTTCATCGTGTAGATCACTTCATCCCATTTTTTTGTTATAAAAATGTACATAAGATATTTTTATAAATTTTATATTTCTCTGTTTTTATCATCTTTGTATGAAACTCAACATTTCTGGAAGCTAAGCTTCTTCATTACCATACCTAAAATAGATATTGTGAAATGTTTTTTGAAAAGAAAGACATCAAGATGGTATAAAATTTCATTTTAAAAAAACTTACATTTGACCAAAATATGATCTCAGCTTCTAAACCTCATCCCACTAATACACATTTAGTTTTCGTAACAAGAACAAATTCTACTTTTTTTTTTTTTTGTCTAAATAAATTTCCCTTTGTAAATTACCTCTATCTAAAAATTGCACATTAAAATGTAGTAACTGCTCTGTAGATGAAAATTGCAAAGTAACCTTTGTACTTGTGTGAAAGTTAAAATTTTGGCCCTTAAAACTGAACAAATGCACTATGTCACTTTGTACATGTACATATTTGTTAATGAACAAACGAAACTTGAAAAGTTTTGGGCTTTGTGAACAAATAATTACAGCAAACTCCTGTTGCATTTCCTTATTCTTTTTTACATACCCTAGAAATTTTACTTTCTTTTAATTTTTAAGAAATCCAGGTAGAATATATTTCTGTCTACAAAGATTTAATATAAATTGGGTCATCCTTTAAGGATAGGATACAAATTACATCTAGTCTGTTTGCATTTGCAGATAACATTTTTTTCACCTTTATATATGAAATTGTAAGAAATGTGAAAGGAGGGCAAATATTTTGTTATAGATTTTGTAGAACATAGCAATGAGCTTTTTTTTTTTTCAATCCTTTAATATTATCTGCAGAATAGTGTACATCTGCAAAGAATGGATTTGAACATATTATATTGTTTCATAAGGGTTAGGATTGCTTTTATTTAATGCTCTTTATTTTACCTATTTATTTGTTTTATTTAAGTGCTATATTGCCAGAAATGTGTAAACAGTGCCCAGATCATGATCAAATTTGGTTAAAGCAATACAAAGGACGAAGTGTTGTCTTTTTTTCTTAGATTTTTTTAATTGGTCATGTTTACATATTTCCCTTTTTTTGGTATACTTATTATTTAGTTCATCTTTAAATAATATCTAAAGCAAAAAAAACAGAAGGCCAGACAAAAAATTCTACAAATATGCATGTTCATTTATTATCATGTCACTTAATTTCATTTTCATCCAAGATGCAAATAAAATGTGTAAAATTTAAGATCGTGTTCATTGTTTATTAATTTTAGTGAATTTGGAGAGTAAACATTGTAATTAACATGCCAGTGAAATATGAAAAAGAGTATTCAAGCTGAAAGTACATTTCAACAGTACAAATCGGGAGAAGAACAAACATGGACCTGCAAAAACATCAGAGATAGGATCAGGTGCTATGGAGGAAAGAGCATCCCAAGCCAACCGGTCAAAATTAGTTACATGTACCAATCTCGGAATATACTAGTAAATAAGGATATTCAATGGTTTTAAGTTTTGAAAAGATGAAATCACAGGATTTTTTATAAAAAAAAATATTTTCATAAATGCAAATACATTGAATTTTCTGTTTATTACATTTTCCTTTGTTTTCCCTTGTTTGTATTTGTCTTTTCATAAAACAGTGTCATAGCCTGTGTCATCATAGTTAAGACGTCATATCTAAGCTATTGCAAGATTGAAAACATTGTAAACATGGATTTTAACAACATATTTTGATAAACTTTTGACAGTTTAAGTCTCAGTCAGAAACAGACCAGTGAGTAAATTTTACAACCTTCTTTGGGAAGAGAAGGAAAATGTAGGGATTTGTTGCTCTTATGCCTCACACTGTGACAGAATATCATTTTTGATATTCTTTCACACAGTGAGAAGATATCACTTATTCAATAAATATAATATATTTCACTGTTGAAAATCAAATAAATTTGTTATCTTCAAAACAGTTCAAAGTTTTTAAGCAAACATACTTCCTGTATCATAAATTGACCTCTAATGAAGTCCATTACTCACAAAATCTGTTGAAAAAGAAAGGTTGTTTAGACCAATTTTTTTTACCATTAACTGTTTTGTCCAATTTTTTTTTTTACCATAAACATTTCATGCAAATATAAACAAAACATGAGATGGCATCAGTACAACTGACTTTTTGCAAAACCCTCTCTAATTAAACTTCATATTCCATAAAATGTTGTCATTTGTATGAATGTATTTTAAATAGTATGATGATTACTAAAGAAACAATTTTTTAAAGTAATATCTTTTCTTCAATCAAATAAAAAAAAATGTGCTAAGGGTGATAACTCCTTCTAATATTTCTTCATCCATGGATTTCTCGAATCATTTAAGTTTCCCTGATATCTACATTAACCAGATAATTCCATAACAGTAATATTTTTGACAATTTTTATATAGAAGTAATAGTTTACAATCATTTAAAACTTTATGACTGACTAAAGAAGCATAACAGTTAATGGCAGCAAAAAATAGATGAATCAATTGACCTACAAAATCAAAATTCATTGAACATCTCTGTTTCTTATCACATCAACTCCATATTCTTCATTTAAAGACATAAACTAATTGAAATTTTACTTGTTTTATTTATTAATATTACAACAACAATAACAAGTTCTATTCAAGTACGAAAAGACATTCACCAAAACCTTAAATCCTGGTAAGGGGTCTGGTCAATTAAAACATGAAAATTCACCAGTGGCAGTGAAAGTTTTTGGTCACTTACAGTCAACAATTCTACCAGTGGTAGCTCTACATTAATGGCATGGTCAGCACATATAGAAAAATCCACATGTTTTGTGCAAAGTTTTATGGTCTTATATTTTCAAATGTTGAATACAAAACAAACAAATTTACCAAAAAAAAAAATTAAAAAAATAAATCTACCGTGCAAATGAAGTAGACAAAAATAAAACAATACAAACCTGATTGTACAAAAGAGTAAATTTCTGTAATCTAAATTTACAAGAAAAAAAATTGTGAAAACCAACCTGAGACAGGAACATTTGATACCAAATTCACAGACCTGAAGATTTCAAATCTACTGCAATTTATTGAAAAATGGGCAAAAACCTGAAGTGATTCAACAACCTCTCTATATCTCCATTACAAACATAACCTAAACGGAAGAGATTTAATGTGTAAATATTTGTGCAAATGATAAAGAAATGTGACATATTTTCAATTCATGTACATGTATGTCTTGTCAGTATGACTATTTGAATCCAAATGGAGATAATTCAGCTATGCTGCAAATGACCTCAAGTTAAATGGTACATGATTAACAGAAAACTAAAGTACACAATTATAAATATGTACATATCTTCAATATGTTCTCTTTTTTTCGCCAGATCATTGTGCCTTGAGAATTTGAATGAGTGACATTCTAGAAAACCATACATGCCTGTACTTAGCTTTGTCTATTAAGTATCTTTGTTTTCACTTTCACTTTGTTTCTTTTATGATTTTTATCTTCTTTATTTCACTTCCTCTGTCTTCTTCTTTGCTGCTTTTTCTTTAGCCTGCAATTAAATTTTGAAAAGCTGATATATTCCTTTAATTACAGAGTAATTAAAAATTAAAATAAAAAAAAAATTTTGTAAACACTAGAAGAGAGAATTCCATGCATTTCTTGCTGGGTAAACAGAGTAGACAATGTTATATAGTACATCAGAAGTCAAATACATTCCATCTTTAGTCAGGATTTCCATTCTTGTGCACTCTGACCTTTCAAAAATGTCTTTGTGTAGATTTCTCACCTTTTCTACAAGGGGAAGTAACTGCTTCTGTTCTGCTAGTATCTTGAGTAGTTCCATTATGAAAGGGAGGTAATTGTGTTTTCTCCTGATATTCTCTACCTGTTTCAAAATACACACAGATATTAGCTTTAGCTACAACCTCACAACTAGGTAAAATTACCTTTCTGATATAATTACCTTTCTGATATAAACCTGTGTAACATCTTGACCCTTTATATAAATGTTATCTTGTAACTTTTTTTTAACTTCTTCTTGACTCTTATCCATTAACTGGCAAATTTCTATCTGATCATTCTGTGTTAATGTTACCTTGTATCTTTTCATTTTGACATCCTCCTCCTGAATCTTGACCATTAACTGACTAATTTCTAACTGATCATCCTCGGTCTCCATCCCTCTGGACTGTAAAAAATGTACAATGCATGTAAATATTACAACAATTTCACCTTTACTTTTAATATATTTGGTTGAGATTGATCCCAGTTTACAAAAAAAATCACCCACAGTCCAAGTTCAACAGGACACAAGCATCTTTTGTTTCTAGTATAATCTTTAAATGCTTTTATCCACATCAGTTATGGATATGGCAAGAATTATTTATTTTCTAAAGCTGTGACATTGACCTTGGCAAAATTACCGGGGGTTTAAGCTGCAAGTACGAGCATCTACTAATTTTTTACTTAAAAGATGTGGCTATCTTAATAACTAAATACTTTTGTACCTTGTGCTCCGACCTTGTCCAAAAAGACCTTGGTATTGGGTCAAAACCCAAAGGAAAATATACCTTTTCACAGGAATGAATCTTTCAAAGGTCATATTTCTTGAAGTTAATTTTGACAAATCAATCTGATCATATCAGGGGGCACAACTTCAAAAGATTTATATTGAACAAAGTTTGACAAAAAATGTTATTGAGTATTTTTAGATATCACTTCCAAACTAAAAAGACTGCAGAAAGATGGTCATTGTGATTTATGTGAATGTAAAGCCCCCATACACTCCAAACTTTGTTCAGCAGGGGTATAAAAATCTTCTTTAAATCTCTTTACACAAGTGAGGGTCCTCTTGTAGACTACTCACCTGCAGTTCTTCTAATCTCTTCTGATACATGGCTTTTCTGTCTGACACTATTGCCATTAAGTTGAAATGAATTTCATCTGCACTATATCTAAAGAAGTGCAAGAAAGTCAAAGTGAATTTTTGATAATGTAATTAACGGGTATTTCAAGTGAAATGTATCTGTACTTTGTTAGATTAAGAGTATGAAAAAAACAAAAAAAGGGACTTAATGTGTAATATTTTCAATATTGTAAGTTTAAAACATGAAAAAAACAAAAAAGGGACTTAATGTGTAATATTTTCAATATTGTAAGTTTAAAACAAAAGTGGATTTCATCTGCTTTTTATCAATGTTCTGATTAAAATACATTAATATAAAAAAATGAGCCACAACATGTACTACACACTGTATTGACTCTGTCAGCAGAATACTTTAGTCTCATTTATTTATTATTATTATTTTTTTGCTTTCTTTGAAGTAGAAACTACAAGAAAGTCTTGAGTCATTTCCCAGATAACAATTTTAAATCGGCTTTAAAATCCTGTAATTATGTAAAAAGTTTCAGCATAGATAGGTGGACATTCAACAGCAACAGAATTATGCACAACAAGAAATGAGTTCACTAATAACAGATGAAGTAGAATTCAGCCTGAAACAAATAAGGCCTTTAATTAACATGGTTATGTGGTTTGATTTCTTACTTATGCATCCTCTTTTCTAGAACTGGTCTGACAACGTCCAGCCAATCTGTATCAGCAGGGATGGCCCCTACAGATTACCACAGAAACGAGAGAAAAATGAATATTAACAAACAGGTGCCTCCTTATGAGCATTTAATGTTTCCTATGAAATATGAAAATTTTTTGGAAAAAAAAATTGCTTTCAATGCATCATCTTAGCATACCCCCCAGTATCAAATAAATGAAAATAAACTACATTACTTAGCCGATATCCAGATACATATATTAGCATTACCTAGATCTACTGGTCCCTCTTTCAGTCCGTCTAATTCGTAAAGTCTTCCATCTATCGGTATGTAACTGACGAAATGGTAGACATCATCATCCTTTTTGGCTAATTTCTCATCAAACTCAAACATCTGCTGCCTGTAAAATTTTATACTGAATGTAAAACTAGAGCCGAGCTCGTTGCAAAGCAACGAGTAGGTCTTCCGTTGGAGCTGTGGACAGGAAGTACAGAACATGGGTCAAGGTCACTGCACCTTCTTATGTCAACAACCTTTCTTCTCAGCATGAGCCTCCAGTGAATTAGTTATGCTTAAACATTTTTTTTTCTTTGTCAGTGACCTTGATTTGCCAAAAAGACATTTGATCAGAGACATGACAAAACCTCCAATCATAAGAAATCTATGTTTCAAGTAAAAGCCTCCAATGATTTTCATTTATTACTTCATGGCGTAGTAAAGAAAATATTTCATCTGTCAGTGACCTTGATCTTAACAGAATAACCTTGGCTCTTTGTCAAGACAAACACCTTTTAGTGATTAGAAGTTCGTAACCCTGACAGGAATTTTATAACTTTTCTGTCATTGGCCGATGAAGATGTTTGAAATTTGCATTATCTTGTTCCATTTTGTCACAGGTCAGAAAAACAACATTGAGGTATTTTAAAACATCACCGGATATTAATATTCAAACAACATGGAGTATTTATTTATGAAAGATAGACGGGGTTGAAAGTCCCTTTCATAATACCTCTTTTAGGTAACAGCTAGCTTTACTTTCAATAAAATTAAACTCAAAAGTCCACAAATAAAATATCTTTCCTCATTTATTTCAAAGTTTGGGTAAAAGAGGGTGAGGAGAATGGGGATGTCTTGATGTATCCCTTATACATTCGAGGTTATTATTCTGTACATGTTAGACAGGAAGACCCGAGGAGTTGTGATTTGCTGATCATGATCTAAAACACGCTAACAAACCGAAACCACGTGGTTTTATACACCTTATTCAATCAATTTATTCATAATTATTTCCCTTGAAGGAGGAATACATGGATAAATGATTAAAGAAAATTCCCGATGTACAATAGCATCCGTGTATGGACTTCATTTTAGTACTACTGTCTACATAATGATATTGTTCTTGAAGTTGAATAAAATCATCAAATAAATTAAATTTAAATAGGAAAGGAATATTATGTGTAATAGAATAAAAATTAGACAATACTTGATACAGGGACTCGCTGGTAAAAACATGAATGTACTTGAATAAAATGCCTCTCACTCGCTTTCTCTCGTACGCGTATTTTTAAACCAAGGAAAGTAATTTGCGCTAGATATAAGTTCATTATTTTAAAGAAAATACTAAGTGATACAAATGGTTTGACTTTGGTGCCGGTTATGAATTTAACAGTTTAATTTAGGTTGTAAAAGCGTGTAATTACATGATAAGACTGTATTAAGATAAGATTGTTACCCCGGTATATAAGTTCGTAGATTTTCGATTCTGGACATAAGATGCGGGTTTATTACTACTTGAATGTACATACTATACTAATCATTTATATGGGTTTTGAGTAAATTATAAAACAAATTAAGTTCATTGCTTTAAAATCATTATTTCTTGAACTTTACTATAAAACCTACATACCCCGGGTAATATAAATAGACAGTGTGCAGCACAGAAGTCACTTTTGAAGTTTACACGTGCCATTGTTACTTATCGATGTTTAATCCATTTCATTGAGTATAATTCTATCCTTACGATTCGGAAGATTCCTTTTAAAAGTTTAAAATTGATATAGCCATGGTTAATGACTGTGATGAAAAAAAATGTGTTTCGGAAAACTTGTGTTGAAAACGGATTTATTTGTGTGTGAAAAGAGCAAAGCTTGTGCATTTTAATAAATATTGGTTGAGGTAAAGGAACTGAAGATCGCCAGTGCTATGAATCGTCAAATTACGAATATTTAAAAATTGAAGACTGATTAATGTACATGTAAAATAAATGCCCCAGCGTTTTATACTAAAGTCAAACCTATAACATTTTAAGATATTTTTGAAAGATTTAATTTACTTAGAGAAAATAATATTTGTTTACTGTTGTAGAATGGTTTGAATATACCAGTTATTTTGCCTATGACTGAGAGGTCAATGGTTCACCGCTGTGTGTCGCTTTAGAATTTCTCGGCTGTGTAATCGAAAGATAGATTACGTAATGAATCTGGGTTCCAGGTGAATTATGAGAATCGCACAGTAAATAATTGTGTATTATTCGACTCTTAAGTTTATCCTTTTTTTATGAAATCCGGGCGTATATTGTTTCCGTTTAAATTGTTTGTGTTTATATTCAAACGAATAATAGATACTCCTTCTCTTGGAGTTGGAAAGATCTTTATTAATAAAAGGAAAATGATACCATCGAATACTCTTAACGGGAAACAAAGAACACCGTTTAAAACCTGATACAGCGTTGTAAAATATTTATTACATACGGCAAGTTTATTTCAAAAATTCTTCAATATCAAAATGAGAACGGATCTAGCTTTCTTTCCTACCATACGTAAGACTCGAACAAAATAATATTTTCATGGGGCAGAGATAGTATTAAAAGGAACAAAATCATCAAGAATTAATTCAACTATTCTGTGGCTGTTTATTTTTTGTGTATGACTGTAGGTCGCTGGATCACACGCCGATTGATTCCCGGTGACCGACTTTGCCCCGCCGCTATCGAGGGAGGCGCGTTATATAATTGTAAACAAACAAGGTGAATGTTAAAGCCGTACGCTTAATGGCTGTGAATAGTATATGTGCTTTTTTATGTTTTATTTTCTCACTATATTGTTTGTTTTTATGTGATAAGAAGAAAAGATTATATTTTCTTCCCCTTTTTAGTAGACTTGGTTTAAACGATTTTTAAAAAAAATGAAATAAAAGGGAAAGTTGTCAGTGAATTAAAATGATAATTTGGAAGAAAAAAAAGCACAAACACTTCAAGAACTATATTCTGAAGAATATTAGAATCCAAAGTAGCCATTTTATTATTTATAGTAAGCTTGCTTTGGTTACATGTACACGCATGAGGAGCTCTCGTTTACGTGCTGAATGAAAAGAATTACCTGTGCATAACGGGTATATAGGTCATGCACCAGCTCATTTAAAACAAGACTCGAACACAATAACAATTTCATGAGATAAGTAAGATGTTAAAGCCCAACTTTATAATCAATAGTCATTTCGAAATATTTACCGTTTTTGAGTTATAAAGCAAAAACTTTCAAGGTCCCTTGATCCCTAATTATAGGGACCAGCCCCTTTTGAATAGTTTTATATGAAAGCCCTTGCAATTATGCACAACTTTTGTTCATTATGTCTCAACAAAATATTTTTAGTTTAGAAGATAAAAAGCAAAATATGCGTAAATTTTCGCTCTTTTAGGCGTTCTAATTTTTGACCCCTATATAGCGCCATTTTGAATACAGAAATCGAAAAACAAAAACCACTATGCACAACTTCAATCCTTCTATTATCTAAAATCAGTAGAATTTTTGCTCCAGCTTTAGCCGTCTCTGAGCCTTTGTCTGGAAACGAAAGCCTATAAATTTTCGTTTAAAGGGAAATAACTCAAAACCGGAAGTGACTTTTTGAAATTTTAGATAGCATTCTGATAGAGTTTAGTAACGTCTATCAACTCTGAAAATTTGAGCAAAATCCATTGAGAAATGAGTGAAATATGAGGCCTCAAAGTTGGCGTCTAGGAAAAGGAAAAAAAAAAGAATAATAAGAATAATCTTAATCATCAGAATCAGTAGAAGGTCTTCCGTTGGAAACGGAAGACCTTAATCAAATCATTGATAATTAAGTAAGCATGTAATGCTTCTAAGTTTGTTTCTTTGAGAATATTTCTTTCATATTTGGAAGCCACCACTTGCAGCAGGAGGACTGCGAATTAAGACCAGTACTCGACACTTGCAGTCTTTGAGCATTTAAAGGGATCTATTTCATCAGCTCCTACTGTGACATGTGACCTTGTTAATATGGTCTCATCCAAACTGGTCTTCATGTCCTGCAGTGGGATTTAAACCCATGAGGTAAGAATGAATTCTTAACTCCACAACTCTTAGAGAAAACACTCTACCCACTGCAACACACTTGTATTTAAGTGTGTATTGCATTCAAACTAATAATGCTAAGTATATACAAATCTAGGACTTTTGAGAAAAGTTCAAAGTTTCATGTAATTCTAGATGCTCACCTTGAAAAACTGTTATGAACCTCTCGGATGGTATCTGAGTTACTCAATGTCAACCCTCGTAACTGAAATCAGGTAAAACTAGTTTTTAAACACAGTTGATTTTCATTGTCTCTTCACTGTTAATAATATGTCCTATTTTTATTACTTCATTTAAAGATAAAACCAAGACAAGAGGCCCAGGGGCCACAGCGCTCACCTGAGCACATCGGCTAGGAAAAAGCACATATCAGATCAGAACTGAAAGTTGCGGGTGGGGGGGTGGGGTGGAGGAAGGGCTTGAATTTTAACCCCCTAGGGGATCATGATTTGAACGAACTAGAATCTACACTACCTGAGGATGATTCCATATAAATATTACTAATCATGGCTTTGAAGTACTTGATAAGAAGATTTTTAAAGGCTTCCCTATATATTCCTATGTAAAACTTTAAACAGCCATTATGGCCCCACCCTAGCCCCGGGGTCAGGATTTGAATAAACCTGAATCTACACTACCTGAGGATGATTTCACAAGCGTTTCATCTTTCCTGTCTTAATGGTTCTTGAGAAGAAGATTTTTAAAGATTTTTCCTATATTCCTATATAAAACTTTGATCGGCCATTTTGGCCCCACCCTACCCCCGGGGGTCATGATTTGAACAAACTTGAATTTACACTACCTGAGGATGATTCCACATGAGTTTCATCTTTCCTGGCCAAGTAGTTCTTGAGCAGAAGATTTTAAAAGATTTGTCCTATATATTTCTATGTAAAACTTTGATCAGCCATTGTGGCCACACCCTACCCCCGGGGGTCATGATTTGAACAAACTTGAATTTACACTACCTGAGGATGCTTCCCTATAAGTTTCATCTTTCCTGGCACAGTGGTTCTTGAGAAGAAGATTTTTAAAGAATTTTCCTATATATTTCTATGTAAAACTTTGACTGGCCATTGTGGCCCTGCCCTACCCCCGGGGGTCATGATTTGAACAAACTTGAATTTACACTAACTGAGGATGCTTCCATATAAGTTTCATCTTTCCTGGCACAGTGGTTCTTGAGAAGAAGATTTTTAAAACATGCCTTCGGCTCAGGTGAGCTAAAAAAATGACTTAGTTAGAAATCCTGTAAATAAATAGATGTGAATACTCACAGCAGGATCAAAGGCCTGAGCGAACTCTTTAAATTGTCCGAGCGTGGGGCCGAGTTTGACCTCGCTCTCGGGACAGTTGAGAAGAACACTGATGATTGCTTGTGTAGCACAGGCATTGTTTATAACCTTAAAAAGAAAAATACATCATGCAATTGAAAAGCTGACTTCTATAATAGGATAGTAATCATAAATATCTGAAGAAAGACATCTTTAGCTTATGGGGCTTATGATTTTTTTTCTGCTATGTTGCCTTCGTTAATCCCAATAGATAGAAACATTTCATTGTCTTAATTCAGTCCTAAAATTAGATTACAGTAAATTAATTTCCTTATATGTCTGACAAATAAATCATTCTATACTGTGATATAAAAATTTTGAGATTATTATTTTCTTTAACCACAACTGCTCAAAGACAAATTCAAACATGCATGTACGAGGGTCGTTAGAAAAGTTCGAGGACACATTGAATTACGGAAAATCTATTGAGTACTGTGAAGTATGACCTATGTCTGAATAAATTCCTACATTTTTTTTATTTGTATGTCAAAAATCAGGTTCATATAATAAAATCTTGAAAATTTACAACGATTTTTTTCTGTGAGGTTATGGGATTCACGGAGCAATCACTTGACGTAAGGCGACGTAACCACCAGATTTCAACCCGTTAACCTTTGTCGCAGTTCTATAAATCTTTAGATTTTTCTGATCTTTTTTCTACTTTAAAATTGAATATCTATTTATCAAGAAATGTTACTTTTCTTCGACAATGTCTTTTGTACTGATTCAGATATTATTGAGATCTTAAAAAAAGTAAAAAAAATGCAGTTAATGGATCAGGTATGGAAACTATGCATTACCATATAGGCGCAACGCAACGTCCATGCGATACGGGGGTACTGAAGTATCGCTGGAGTTAATCTTTCAAAATGTCAATCCTTCCATTCTTATGAAGCTACAACCATTTGAAAACTTCTCCTTTGTAGGTGTAGGAAATTCCCGGCAGCATCTTGAACATTTTAATCTCTTTTTAGACATTTTCCAGTCTGCATACATAATTTTTACGTAGTGCAGTGCTCCATGACGCTCAATGACGTTCCGATTTTTGGCTGTGTTTTTACGCAATGATCATATACAAACGGCTATAAAACAGTCAGATACCCTCCAATTTAGTTCAAAATTTCTCCCAGTGATGTTTCATGAATACTTTAGCGGCAGGTAAAATATCATAAACCTCTTTGCGTTACAATTGTGCAATTTTTAATTTTAATAAAGAGTCTTTGTGATGTAAACGTGCCAAAATGTAGCATGCTCCGTGAAGCAAGTTTTATCAAAATAAAAAAGCTGTATAATTTTTAATAATCATCGGAGAGAAAAAATTTCTTGTATATTTATTGGCAAAAAAGTAAAGATTCTATCTGGAAAGTTTGACCGGTTTCGTGGAAATAGCGCGCTCACAATTGAACTTGTCCGCGAACTTTTCTAACACCCCTCATACCTGTTTTGCAAAGAAGATTTTCTCTATACGATTGTCTTGGACAATGCTGCCTTCTGGTTCCGATTCTGGTTGCCATTTAAACAGGAATATCAGTCCATAAACTGGTCTACAAAACATAATATCAAACCAATATATCTACAGTATACCTTGTAATCTAAATACAATTATCTGAACAACATTTGTTGATATAAAGATTTGTATACAAACAAAATGAAGACCTGGGTGCTATTCTTAATTGTCAAGTATTCCAAAGTATCTAGTTCGTTAACAAATGTGTATATGTGTGTATATGTGTGGGTAACTAACTGCTTGTATTATAACAAATAGCCTGATAATTTCTAATATCTATTTCATTTTGTGTAAGGTTTTAATTCATGATTTCATGGGTGTCTAAGTCAAGGGAAAAAACACCAACAGCTCCTACAGTGAAATCAATTTTTTTTGTGGTAGATTAATTTTCGTTGTTTTCGAGGTATGGAGAGACCCTCAAATTCATGATCACCTTGAAATGTAAAATTTCATATGAATAGAAATAAAAATTGAGATATGCAAGGAATCAAGATATCAGTTTTAGAAATATTGAAGTTCAACTGTATCCCCCACCTCCGACTCTCCATTTTGTTTAGAAGTCACAATTTTCGTCATGATATCTTTTTAAGAGCCATTCTCTGTAATGACTTGAAATTTTATATAGGAGCTGTGGCACGCATAGTCTCAGAATTTCTCCAAACTCTCTATGATAAAAGTCATTGATACCCTAAACTGAAATCAGGCAAAAATTGGTTGCTATGCTTTATAGTTACCATGGCAACATGTCTTAAAGTTCGAAAAAAGACATTTTTTAACATGTTTAGAGCCCCATAGTTAACATTTGCGGCAAAGCAAACTATTGGCGATGACTGTTTCCAAAATTAGAAGGTCAGATGTCTCAAATGCATGATAAACATGTTTGGTAAATCAACTACTACATACGTTACTATGGAAACAAAGTATTCAAAAGTAAAAAAAATATTCATTGAATTTTATAAAGTCATACACGTAAAAATAACAAGCAATTATAGGATGAAATGTGACCAAATAACAGAAAAAAGAGCCTTGAAACATATACCAAGAACAAAATATATTTCATTTTGGTTGGCAATGGTTGCCAAGGTTTTTATACCACAGAGAGCCTTCAAAGTAACATTTTGTATGTTTAAATCTGATCCTATCTTTTAAAAATAGCACATTTCCTCATAACTAATGATCAATTTTTAAAGATGTTGGTGTGCTCCTAGTTTTCCCATTTGAAAAAATTCAGATTAGATTCTTTAACTAGAGCGTTGCTATGGAAATAAGCAGAAAATATATGCTTAAAAACCTTAAAAATATTTTCTTTCCTTGGATACGTACCCTTAAATGTAGATTCCCAAAACTTTTATGATTGATATTTATTAACAGCTTACCTGACTTTTAATTTTGACTATCATCCAATCTCTAAGTGGATGCAAGAAGTTGGCACACAGGGTTTAATATTGATATAAAGTTCAGAAAATCGAACATTTTCCCTTCTTGGTAACCATAGCAACAGTGTTGTTTTCTTCATCAAATTTTATCAATATATGATATTCAACTTCAGTTCTAACAGATAAGTACTACTCAAGCTGAGTCCTTTAATTTTTTTCTTGATTAAATGGCAATTTAATTCTTAATGCAGAGAAAAATAATTCACTTTTAAGCACTGGTACTTTGTTTCCATGGTAACACTGCAAAGTAGTAATTATACCCAATTTTTCTTATGGTTTTGGTGTTGCACGGTCCTAAGGATGCATATTTGCCAGTCTTGAATTTTCATGTTTTTCCTCAAGACAGTAGCATTAACCCAATCTTAGTTACTGGTTTTGCATGGTTACACTGTGTTACCATGGCAACCATAAAAGTTATTTATAGAATAATATTGCTTAAACCTATATACTTAAGGTCAAATATTTTCATTGTTTTTCTTGAGTCGTTGATTAAGTTTGAGCATATAACACCTACCATTAGTGAATGCGGAGTGTTTTTCAGCATATTTCAGCATTTTAAATGTATTCCAAATGTACCCTTGGTTACCACTTACTTAGAGATATATTCTAAAAAGTTTCTTTACAGTATAAGTGACATCAAGGTGTCATGTTTTTGTGAGAATGGTTTGTTTCCTTTTTCTAGTTTTTATTAAGCCACAGTCAAGATTTAAAGTGGCTGAAAATCTCGATTTTTCAAAATTTTCCAGCTGTTGTCATAGCAACCGAGACACATAGCAACGAAATTTTGTTTGATGTTTGTTTCTGGTGTCACGTACTTAGCATGGATGAAGTTTCATCAAAATTGGTGACCATGCGTGGCAACGAAGTTTAAGTGGTTACAGAGAATGGCTATTAATGTTTATCATGTTTATACTATAAATAATTCGTACTTCACTTTTTTTTTTCAAAATTTCTTATAGAGAATTTCATGTTATGTATTTTGTGGTTAAATAATTGTCTTACTTAAGATTCTCAAAACTTGTAGAGTCCAAACTCCATAGCTCCTCCACTTGTACTCCTTCACAACCTGGGTAAAAGAAAATAAAACTTCACTTCTGACATATCATATCAAAATTACACACTGAACTGCACATGACATCTTTTAAATATGTAAATATAACAGAAGTTGTATTCAATCAGTTTCAATTTTTCATCTTGCAAACTTTGCATTTCAGTTCTTACAAAACGTTTCCTGGACATCATTAATCCAGTTGAGAAACAGGTATTGAAATAATTATTTTTAAATACAGGGTTATACTCAACAAAATAATACAACTTTAAATTTAAAATAATGTTTACATGCCCTCTTTCAACCAAGGTTAAAAACATTAGGTCTGTAGGTAGGTGGGAAATTCTTTTCTTCCTAGCAAATTCAACAAACATATTTATTTGACAGAATGGAAAAAATCCAGGAATAAATAGGGGGTAAAAAAATTTCTTGCAGGTTGAAAAATGTTTTGAGTCAGGTCAATTTTAAGCTGTCAGTCAGGAGAGGAAAAACAAACACTTTTTTAAAAGTCCTACAGAAATGATTTTTATTTGAATCGTAATGGTTTGGGCATGGATATGGATAGGTCAGTCTGTAGAGCGCATCTGATTAGTGATGCAAGAGTCTGGGTTCGATTCCAAGTCCATGCAGCCATACATTTTCTCTTAGATTTGGTGCTGTTCACCACCCATGGACTTGTAACTGAAAGTCCTGCCAGGGTCAAATAACAACTTGGGTTGTGTCTTTGAGAGCAAAGGCAATTTAAGGGGGAGGAGCATAATGGTTTTGGTCGTGGATATTGGGCTGGATAGCTCAGTTGGTAAAGAACCTGACTAGTACCGGTGTAGCATATTTTGATACCGCGATATATTGAACCCGGGTTCAATATATCGCATAATATTTTGAACCCGGGTTTACTTTTTCGCTGCGATATATTGAACCCCCTTATAAAATATTGAACCCCTACCTTTTTCATTGAAGAGTTAGGGGGTTCAAAATATTATGGCCATAATATTTTGAGTCCCTTTGCCAATTTACTTTTAAAGGGAGGGGGTTAAAAATATTATGGCCATAAAATATTGAATCCCCCTGCCCTATTAATTTATCAAGGAGGGGGTTCAAAATATTATGGCCATAAAATATTGAGTCTCCTTCCTTTTAAGTGAAGAGGGAGGGGGTTCAAAATATTATGGCCATAAAATATTGATCCCCCCTGTCATTTTAAGTTAAGAGGGAGGGGGGTTCAAAATATTATGGCCATAAAATATCGAGTCCCCCTGTCCTTCTAATTTTACATGGAGGGGGGTTCAAAATATTATGGCCATAAAATATCGAATCCCCTGCCCTATTAATTTATCAAGGAGGGGGTTCAAAATATTATAGCCATAAAATATTGAACCCCCATGTCCTTTTAAGTTAAGAGGGAGGGGGTTCAAGATATTATGGCCATAAAATATTGAGTCCCCCTGTCCTTTTAATTTTACAGGGAGGCGGGTTCAAAATATTATGGCATAAAATATTGAACCCCCATGTCCTTTTAAGTTAAGAGGGAGGGGGTTCAAAATATTATGGCCATAAAATATTGAACCCCCATGTCCTTTAAAGATCGGAGGGAGGGGGTTCAAAATATTATGGCCATAAAATATTAAATCCCCATGTCCTTTTAAGTTAGGAGGGAGGGTGGTTCAAAATATGGCCATAAAATATGGAACCCCTTTGTTCTTTTAAGTTAAAAGGGAGGGGATTCAAAATATTATGGCCATAAAAAATTGAACCCCCATGTCCTTTCAAGTTAAGAGGGAGGGGTTCAAAATATTATGGCCATAAATTATTGAGTCCCTTGCCCTATTAATTTATCAAGGAGGGGGTTCAAAATATTATGGCCATAAAATTTCAAGTCCCCTGTCCTTTTAAGTTAAGAGGGAGGGGGTTCAAAATATCTTGGCCATGAAATATGGAACCCCCATCCTTTTAATTTTATAGGAAGGGGGGTTCAAAATATTATGGCCATAAAATATCGAGTCCCCTGTCCTTTTTTATTTTTTAGGGAGAGTGAAGAGAAGGGCTTCAACTTAATATTATCATAAAATATTGATGACTTTATTGTACGTGTGTGTGGGTTTTTTTTCAAGTTGAGTATGATATTTTTACATCATATTGATTGCATGATATTGGATTTCTGAAAATCTTTTTAACCTTGGCCATAATTTTTTAACAGTTAGGACTAGGGCTTCCGTAATTCACATATGTATTCTTTGACCTTTCATTTGATACCAATAACCTGACCTTGTGACCTTGATGTTGAAGATTTTTGTACTCATGAAAAAACTTTAACCTGGCCATAACATATCATGATATGGCTTTCATATTTCACAATTGTATTTCAAGTTAGGCGACCTTATTTTGGGTACCAATATATATATTGTACTCAGTTTTGACAATAAGTCAAGGGTACTATATCCCCAATACAGGCCCAAAATATGTGTAACAAGAGGCCCATGGGCCTTATAGGTCACCTGAGTATTGTGTAACAACTTTCAAACAATTAAATTTGGTTTGTGTTTTAAACCAGAGGCCATGAAATTCACAATTCACAATTTTGAAAGAGGCACCATTGCTTATCATAATTATTGACTTAGCATGCTTACTCTATTAACTTAATACTCAGAGGTAGATCAGAGTAACAAAGAGAAAATGCAACTCTACTTTGTACCCAGTTGTGCACCTCATCCCAAAAGAACCACTGATACAGGGGCCACATATTTCAAAATTTTGCAAATTTTATCAAAAAATGGTTGATTAATACCAAAGAGCAGATTTCAAAGCATTAATTCATTCTCAGACTATGTAACACCCCCCCCCCCCCCCACCCCCTCTGACCCAGGGGGCATAAAAACCCACTGCTAGATGCACCTTTCTTCATCATTAATATATATACTTGGATCACTGGCATAAAACTCAGGAGCAAAGGAAAATATTTCCAAAGAATTAATGTATTTTTACTATATAATCAATAGAGCCCCGCCCTAACACCAGAACCCCTAACCCTGGGGCCATAAAATTCACAATTTTGAAAGAGGCACTCTTGCTCATCATAACTATGTACTTAGTTAGTTTATTTAATACCCAGAAGCAGAGAAGAAGATTTTCAAAGAATAATGCATTTTCACTATATAATTAATAGAGCCCTGCCCTAACACCAGAACCCCTGACCCTGGGGTCATAAAATTCACAAATCTGCAAGAGGCACTCTTGCTCATCATTACTATGTACTTAGTTAGTTTATTTAATACCCAGGAGCAGAGATGAAGATTTTCAAAGAAATAATGCATTTTCACTATATAATCTATATAGCCCCACCCTAGCACAAGAACCCCTGACCCTGGGGCCATAAACTTCACAAATCTGGAAGAGACACTCTTGCTCATTATAACTATGTACTGAGTTAATTTATTTAATACCCAGAAGCAGAGAAGATTGTCAATGAATAATGCATTTTCACTGTATCATCAATAAAGCCCCACTGTAACACAAGAACCCCTGACCCTGGGGCCATAAAATTCACAATTATGGAAAACACACTCTTGCTCATCATAACTATGTGCTTAGTTAGTTTATTTAATACCCAGAAGCAGAGAAAAAGATTTTCGAAGAATAAATGCATTTTCACTATATAATCATTAGAGCCCCGCCCTAACACCAGAACCCCTGACCCTGGGGCCATAAAATTCACAAATCTGGAGGAGGCACTCTTGCTCATCAAAACTATGTACTTACTTAGTTTATTTAATACCCAGGAGCAGAGAAGAAGATTTTCAAAGAATAAGAGCATTTTCAGTATATCATCAATATAGCCCCGCCCTAACACCAGAACCCCTGACCTTGGGGCCATAAAATTTACAATCTTGAAGAGGCACTCTTGCTCATCATAACTATGTACTTGGTTAGTTTATTTAATACCCAGGAGCAGAGAAGAAGATTTTCAAAGAATTTATGCATTTTCACTATATATTCTATTTAGCCCTGCCCTTAAGTACTTGAACCCCTGACCCAGGGGCCATGAATTTCACAATTTGGGTAGAGGACTCAATGCTGATTACAATCATGCCAACAGTATGCCTGCTTGATGTCCAGGAGTAAAGAAGAAGATTTTTAAAGATTGCAATAATTTTAGTGGTTTTGGACCCACCCCTCAGGCTCCAGGGGGGCGGTGACCATGAAATTCTTAATTTCTGTTCCCCTTCACCCATAGATGCTGTATATCAAATTTGGTTGAAATTGGTTCGGTGGTTTCAGAGAAGACGCTGAAATTATTCAAATGTTAACACACGACACAGGAAGCACAACGACGGACGAAAACAGATAGCAATAGGTCCCCTGAGTTTACTCAGGTGACCTAATAAAATGTAGTAAACTAGGGTATTCCTGACATTTGTCTACAAATAGCAAATTTTAGACTGTTAGACCTTGGTCTGTAAAAAGGCTATACGGGATGTCAGGAAGAAGATTATGGATGAAAACTTTATCCAGACTGTAAAGAACATGATTGAGAGTGACCAATTTCACACTATATCTCATAAATACCTGCAGTTTTGGGTTTTTAAAACAGAAGAATTAATGCTTTACTTGTTTGAAAGATTTTAAGGTTGACAAGAAATTGTGTATGGATGTAGACTAGATAAGGTAACACAAACTGTCATGAACTCTTGGAAAAATGTCGAGAAAAAGAAAGCTCATATTATTTTTTCATGCCTAAGACATCTAAGATTTTTCTGCTCTGTGACTGAATGATCTGTCCTAATAAATCACCAAAAATTTATATCAATTTACAACATTTTGAAATGAAATTTTGAAGTTCATATAAATAAAGCTTCTTTCATATTATTTGTTACTTTTTTGCCTGATTATGTTGTCAAATATATTTTTATGCCCCGCCATGAATGTGGCCGGGGCATATAGTGTTTGTCATGTCCGTCTTCCGTCCTTCCGTCTGTCCTTCCGTCACACTTTGTGTTTAGCTCTGTTCAAAGCTTAGTTTC